ACTGTCAGTTTTTGTTTATTGTTTTCTGTTTTCAGCACAAAGTTTAGAAACCAACAAAATAGAACTGCACGTCCTGGGAGAGTGTCTCACTTGTTTTACTTTTTATTCAGGCACCAGCGCAAGCTGCATCGACGCTTTCCACGGACCGGAAGACCCTCCCGTGCAAGTCCCATCGTGCTCGATAACGCTGGTCTGACGGTGGGTGTGTTTTTCCGTGGCAAGTTGATCCAACTCGGCGTTGGTTTTTAGATTACTTTCTGCGATTACATAAGTCGAACAAAAGACTCTTAGTGCAGTGTAGATCCTGCTCAATATCTTCGGGTTAATTTATTTGTGAATGCCACCAAACTAGGGACATTTAAAGTGTACTAGTACGGACCGAGAGAGAGAACGAGGAGATTTTCCGTACTGGGATCGTTAAGAACGCTTCGCAATCGCTCCGCCGCGATCCGATATCAGTGGCAGTGTCCGCTTGCTCCTTCTTTCTGTATACAACCAGAACCAACCAACTGTCCTTTGAACGAATCTCCTCGCACCCCGATTAGACGCCTCGGCTGATGGCCAGCTTGTCTTCGACGTGTGTCACTCACTGTTTTACCCACTAGTTCGGCATGGATGAAATAAATGCTGAATCCATCGCAACCCTATTACACCGTTTCAACGCCGTCAACCCGCTCCCGACTCATCAACCCGGAGAAACAGCGGTCTGCCCGATAAACCTGACACATATTTGATTGGTCCTCCGACTTTCATCCCCATTGGGTAATCTCTCCGTTTTGCCGCCACCTCCTCGCCATATCGCCAAGCATATCGCTGAAAAAACAAGAGGCGGCTGAACGGAAAACGAGCCGCCACCGCGCGCGCGCGCTGACGCGTCGGTGGGACCCTATATAATGGATCCATACTCCCTTCATCAACCAGAAATCCGCCCGCTCCTCTCACTTTCCTCTTGAATCCGATACCAGACCGATGATGTCCTCGATCGACAAACTCGACAGACGTGCCACACTATCCGAAGAAACCATTCAGGATTCATACTCGGAATCAGCCTCCCACTCCATCATCACAGCCCCGCCGTTTTCTGCGCAGTTCCTCGACAAATCTCCGGAGGCATCCGCTGCCCGAGCGATATACCTGAAAACTCTTATCGGCGGCGTAACGGCGCTTTCGGTTGTTATCTTCGCGGTCTTCTCAATATACTGGGGATCGGTATGGAGCACGCCCCATCACACCCTTCCGGGATGGATTGTAGTATGTCTGCCACGTTGTATACACCTCTTCCTGTTCCGACATCTCCTAGGACTTTGACGGCGGCGCAGTAGGCCAGGCGGTCTCTGGTGCCCTCGCTGGGGTAACTCCCGGAACGAATGGAATCGCCTGGCAAGTGGTGTCCCCCAGCCAGTTCCCAGACGGGATCGCACAGCTAGAAAATGCGATTGTGCAAGAAAAGGTGTGGTATGCGGTTGCTAGTGAGTTTTTCTGCCCTCGCTTTTGGCAATCCTCTAAGAGCCGTTCCTCAGTCAACGCTGGAGCAAGCGCCAACCTCACTGCGGCAGTGTCCACGGTTGACAGTTCTTACAATTCCTCGATGGCGATCACCTTCATTGGCTCTGAGGCGAGGAATGAGAATATCTTGTGCGTTCATCATTGTCTAAACACGAACGAAATCTCATCTTGCATCGCAGCCGTATTCACAGCCGTATCGCTACTGGCCAGCTGGAAGCCATAACGCACGAATTTACGCTGCAATTCATTAAAAACATCTCTTCGTCGGCCAATGTCGGAAGCTTGCTCTCCACAGCTCCCCAGCTTGTCGCGCGGCCCATATATTACACCACCGACAATCTCCGCCCCTTCGATGTCGCAGTGTGCGTTTTCTCGCCTCATGTCTCTGCTGTATCTGACTCAGATGTTTAGTGCAAGCGCCGTGACCTTCGTCGGTCTCATCTACTTGCTCATCCTATCTGTGAGCCTCCTCCTGCCCGTACAGTATGATCCCGACTAACACCACGACAGTTTTTCATTGTGATGGTCTCCGCCGGTGCACGTGAAGCCTCGGGCCTCGAGCGGCGTCTTTCCCTCGGATCCCTCGTCCGCGTGCGGATCGCAACTTCATTCGCGGCGTACTTCTTCACCTCCGTACGTGCAACCCCATATTTATTGCATCGCACGCTTATCCATCCTCGCAGCTTTTCTACACCCTCCTGAGTCGCGCGTTCCAGCTCCCCTTCGACCGACGCTTCGGCAGTGCGGGTCTCGTCATCTTCTGGATGCTCAACTGGGTCGGCATGCTCGCCTGGTGCGTCTCACGCTCCGCTCCAGCCCAATCGCAAGGTCCTAACAGATTTTACAGCGGCCTCGCGTTGGAGGCAATGATTACACTGCTCACCACGCGCTTCATCGGTTTTTTCCTCATCATCTGGATCATCTCGAACGTGTCCGTCTCGGTCTTCCCGCTTCAGGTCCTCCCGCACCTCTACCGCTACGGGTACGCGTTCCCCTTTTACAATATCTCCCGCGCGGTCCGTGCTATCGTCTTCCGCACCAAAAACGATGGTGCGTCTCTGTCTCTGTCCGTCGATGATTAGATACTGATTAGCGGGCGCACAGTGGGAATGAACTTCGGCGTACTCATCGCGTGGGTGGCGCTCTCGTGCATCACGCTCCCGCTCTTCCAGTGGTTTATGCGCCGGCGGCTCGTCATTGCGCAGCGCACAGCACTACAAATCTAATGCTCAGACTATTATTATTTACAAACCATAATCATCATACTATACTAGATATACCAGACATGGCATCCCACTACTAGAAATGTATTTTTAGCTTGTACAACCATCCGACCAATAGACGAGAATGCATAATTTATGTTTATGAGAGGGAACTTGCGATAAATGTCCCACCAATGGAGTCAAGACCCTCAGAAAATGCTGACTTATCTATCTGTGGTTCATATTAGAGGGAGGAAGCGGGCGTGGTGTACGGTACACGGCTGTGTTCATTGCTCCGGATTTTTAAATGCAGGCAGCTAATCCGGGTTCGACCGGCACCCGCATTATTGGTGGGGAACCATTTTTTTTTTGCTCTTCTGTCAGTTCATTACAATTTTCTGATTCACTATTAATGTCTGCCTCAAATTGGTTGACGTTGACTATACCTGTCTCGAGGGGAGAGAAAAATATGTTTGATTTGAACATTCCGATGAGAGACCTGTTGGCTCGGGATGAACTATGATGTTCGCGAGCCTCTCAAAACTGGTATCTTATTCAGGGTTTAAAGTAGTGGAGGAAGCGGACGTGGTGTACGGTACACGACGACCTTCATTGATGTGCCTCAAGCAGCAGACTCGGGTTCGACTCCCGACACCCGCATTCATATATTGATTCCTTTTTATTGTTTTTTATCTGCTCCCCTCCCTTTTTAAACCGTCTTTATGTCGGCTTTCTCCTCCCTGTTCTTATCTCGGTTATGTCTTGCAATTGATTTCTGAAAACTCTGGTTGAGACTGGTGCGCCAAACCATGTGGACAACAGGAATGTCTGTAAAGAGCCTGTGAGTCATTGAGGTTCAAACAGGAGGGAATAAGCGGGTGTAGTGTATGGTACACAGCTGTGTTCATTGTTGTAAAAGCTTCTGAGCTCAAATGCCGGCAGCTAATCCGGGTTCGACTCCCGGCACCCGCATATATAATTCGTTCAGATCTTTTTTCTCCCTCTGGTTTTTCTGTCCTTTTCGTTGCTGTTATCCCGAGGCAAGTTGGTTGTTTTGATTTCTGCGAAGGGTTCAGAGAACATACTTGATTGAGTTTTAAAACAAGACGGACTGGAGAACCTTCAAGTTGGTGGGTTGAGGAATCACGACGCCGACAGACTCATTAGCAATGAATCCAAAGCATCAGAACATGATAATTTATACAGGCTCAGAATAGAAGGAGCAAGCGGGCGTGGGGTGCGGTACACGGCTGTGTTCATTGTTGGTTCTTCGGGATTGAAATGCCGGCAGCTAATCCGGGTTCGACTCCCGGCGCTCGCATTCAGGCTGTGCTGTGGTTTTTTTTAAATCTCCTTGTTTCATGCGTTTATTTCTTTCAATCTCCGTCATCTTGCTCCGCCTATTTGGTGTCCATTTGAATGGGTCTAAGATTCTGGTTGAGATCTTGAATGCTGAGCGAAAAATTTACGGACGCCAGTAGGGAAGGAGGTAACTTATTCAGGCTCAGGCAGCCCTGCTCGCGCGCATGCTTCCATGCCCGCGCTATGCCCATTAATTCTAGTAACCTACACCACTCATGTCGCCGGGCTGGCCTCCTCTGTGCCCGCGGGCGCTTATACTTTGGCGCTTTGTGGCCCGTTCTGCGACATTCCTCCTACACGACGCGCGATGAGCGCCTCTCCTCCTCAGAGGGAATAAGCGGGTGTGGTGTACGGTACATAGCTGTGTTATATGGTCATCAGGTTCAATTCAGGCAGCTACTCCGGGTTCGACTCCCGGCGCCCGCATGTACCATTTTCGTCACTCTTTTTGTCTGCTAATTATGTCCATTTCTGCCTGGTGCCTATGCGTGTGGGGGGAAACAGATGGATGTTCAACTTGACAAGAGTCTGGCCAGAGATAGTTGATGAAATCCTAGCAACGAAGTTGAACACCCGCAATAACGGTGGCTTATTCAGGGTGCAAACTCGAGGGAGGAAGCGGGTGTGGTGTACGGTACACGGCTGTGTTCATTCAAGTGGTTGAGGCAAAAGAGTCAAACAGCAGATCCGGGTTCGACTCCCGGCGCCCGCATTCTGGCTGCTGAGTTCATTTATTTTTTGCGTCGGATATCAGACTTGTTTTATTCTCATCGTGGCTTCATTGTCTTGTTTCATTTCTGGTGGAGGAGTTGAGCACTTTAAGTAAATGGTGAAAAATCTGATTGACTTCAGGAGGGAGCATAATAATGAGAGTGGATACCAGCCTCCCGACGGACGGTACCTTATTCAGGCTCAGATACGAGGGGGTATGCGGGTGTGGTGTATGGTACACTGCTGTGTTCATTGGGCCTTTGCTCCTTAAATGCAGGCAGCAGACCCGGGTTCGACTCCCGGCACCCGCAGACCACGGCATCCCTCTTTTTTCAAAAATCTCTGTTCATTACAGTATGCTGTTTTCGGACTGGTTCCATATTAATAAGCCAAAGTTCCCACTGTCTTTGTCTCTGTTCGTTGTGGATATCGATTTTTCTGGCCGGTGCTTCGATGCGTGTTGGGGGAAAACTCAAAATCTGGCTGAGAATGTTGAACGAAATCATCAGCAGCAATGAGTCGAGCATTCTGAAGAATGGTGACTTATTCAGGGACAAGGATGGAGGGAATAAGCGGGTGTGGTGTACAGTACACAGCTCCATTAATAGAAAAGACAGTCCAGCAGCACACCCGGGTTGGACTCCCGGCACTCGCATTGCAGTCCACATTTTTTCATTTCTTTTTTGTGTCGTGGATATCAGACTTGTCTCATTCACATCATGGCCTTATTTCACTTCTGGAGGATGGCTTACCAGTAAGTTTTACATAAATAGGTCGAATCTGACTGATCCGATGGAGAACGATGATCTTAAAAACTGATCCCAGTCTAAGATTCCCAGCCTGCCGAAGGACGGTAGGTTATGCAGGGTGCAAACGAGAGGGAGAGAGCGGGTGTGGTGTATGGTGCACGGCTGTGTTCATTGCTCAGGGTTTTCTCTATAAACGCAGACAGCAGACGCGGGTTCGACTCCCGGCACCCGCATAGTTGGACGACAGCGTCCTTTTTTCCCCCATCCTTGTCCTATCTCTCCAAGTCACTTGCTTTCTTTATTTCTTGATGCCAGCTTCTTATTTGTGTTCTGGCGCTGAGTCGATTATGAGAAGAAATTGTCTTTCGGTTGGAATTAGTGAAGCTGAGAAGGGACAAATGACCCGCTAACGGAATTAAGACTCCCAGACTTATTTACCGTTCAAACTAGAGGAGAAAGCGAGAGGGAGAGAGCGGGTGTGGTGTGCGGTACACGGCTGTGTTCATTGCGCCAGGCTTTGTACCATTAAACGCAGGCAGCTAATCCGGGTTCGACTCCCGGCACCCGCATAGACCATGGCATCCCTCTTTTTTTTAAAAAACCTCTGTTCATTATGCTGTTTTCGGACTGGTTCCATATTAATAAGCCAAAGTTCCCACTGTTTTTTTCTCTGTTCATTGTGGATTTCTTTAGCAATCCAAGGCATCAGAATATGGTAACTTATTCAGGGTTTAAAATATAGGAGAGAGTGGGCGTGGTGTATGGTACACGGCTGTGTTCAACTTGCACTGTAAGAAGCTGTTCAGACAGTAGTTCCGGGTTCGACTCCCGGCGCCCGCATACACCATTTTCGTCACTCTTTTTGGTTCCCGTTCATTAAGCATTTTCTGGCTGGTGCGTCGATGCGTGTTGAGGAGAAATATGTTCACGTTCAGAATTTAGCTGGTGTGGGCTGAGATTGTTGAAAAAAATTAACGGTGAAAGAAAAAAAGTGGAATGAAGGAAGGTGACGTATTCGGGGTTCAAACTAGAGGGAATAAGCGGGTGTGGTGTATGGTACACGGCTATTTTCAGTATTCAACACTATTCAACATCTTCTAAAAATGCCGGCAGCTGATCCGGGTTCGACCCCCGGCACCCGCATATATAATTCGTTCAGATCTTTTTTCTTCCTCTGGTTTTTCTGTCCTTTTCGTCCCTTTTATCTCGAAGTAAGTTGCTTGCTTTTATTTCCGCAGAGACAGAGCATGGTTGAGTTTGAAAACCAAACGGACTGGAGAACCTTCAAGTTGGGGGGTTGAGGGCACGGACGACTCATTAGCAATGAAACCAAGGCCTTCAAAACATGGTAACTTGTTCGGGGTTTAAAGTCGAGGAGGAAGCGGGCGTGGTGTACGGTACACTGCAGGGTCAGGAGATAATGCAGGCAGCAGATCCGGGTTCGACTCCCGGAACCCGCATAACCCAGGTTTCCTGAACGTTTTTTTTCTCATCTTGTTCCATGTATTTATCTCCTTGTTTCCCATCCCGTTCATTATCTTGCTCCGTATATTTGGTGCTCATCCGTCTCGAGAATGGGTTGAACACTCTGGTTGAGATCTTAATTTTTACGGGTAGGCCCAAAATTTAGGGACACCTCGGCGGGAGCGAGGTCAGTTACTGAGGTTCGGAATGGAGGGAATATGCGGGTGTTGGTGTACGGTACATGACTGCTCATGAGTGATTAGCAGCAGATCTGGGTTCGACTCCCGGTGCCCACATACTTGGACAACAGCGATCTTTTTTCCCCATCCTTGTCCTATCTCTCCAAGTCACTTGCTTTTCTTTATTTCTTGATGCCAACTTCTTATTTGCGTTCTGGCGCTGAGTCGATTATGAGAAGAAATTGTCTTTCGGTTGGAATTAGTAAAGCTGAGAGGGATACATGTCCCACTAATGGAGTCAAGACTCTTAGCAAAGGCTGACTTATTTACCATTCAAACTAGAGGAATAAGCGGGTGTGGTGTACGGTACACAGCTGTATCATAGTCGGAATCACAGCAATTCAGGCAGCTACTCCGGGTTCGACTCCCGGCGCCCGCATGTACCATTTTCGTCACTCTTTTTGTCTGCTAATTATGCCCTTTTCTGCCTGGTGCCTATGCGTTTCGGGGGGAACAGATGTATGTTCAACTTGCCAATCTGGCCAGAGATAGTTGAGCAAAATCATCAGCGAAAAACAGTTGGTTGTCCTGAAGAACGGTTGGTGACTTGTTCAGGGACAAGTATGGAAGGAGAGAGCGGGTGTGGTGTACGGTACGCGGCTGTGTTCACTGCGGGATTGCCAGAGAATTCAGGCAGCAGATCTGGGTTCGACTCCCGGCGCCCGCATTCTGCTGCAGTACCCATTTTTTTTTGTGTCGTGGATATCAGACTTGTTTCATTCCCTCCGTGGCTTTAGTGCTGTGTGCTTCCTGTTGAATGAGTTGAACCCCTTACATAAATAAGTTAGAATCCGACTTGAGGCTGGAGAAGAATAATAATAATGAGAATGGATCCCAGCCTCCCGAAGGAAGGACGGTACCTTATTCAGGCTCAGATACGAGGGGATAAGCGGGTGTGGTATACGGTACACGGCTGTGTTCATTGGGTCGTTGCTCTTTAAATGCAGGCAGCTAATCCGGGTTCGACTCCCGGCACCGCATTACAGGTGAAGGCCCACGTTTTTGGCTCTTCTGTCAGTTTATTACACTTTTCTGATTTATGTCATCGTGTATCTCGATTGGTTGACTATACATACCTGTCTCGAGGATGGGGAGAGCAAAATGTGTTTGACTTCAAGTTGAACATCCAGATGAGACTTCTTGGCCCGGCATAAAGTATGCCAGTTATGCATCCGAGCCTCTCAAAACTGGTGACTTATGCAGGGTTTAAAGTAGTGGAGGAAGCGGACGTGGTGTACGGTACACGGCGACCTTTATTGATGTGCCTCAAGCAGCAGACTCGGGTTCGACTCCCCACGCCCGCATTCGGAGTATTGATCCCTTTTTATTATTCTTTATCTGCTTCTCCCATTTTCCACCATCTTCATTCCGACTTTCTCCTCAGGCTCACTGTCCCATGTCTTGGTCATGTCTTGCGATTGAAAATTTTGAGGACTCTGCCAGTTTGGGTCAACCAAAGTGTAGGATCATGGAGAAGGAGCCTATGGACCATTCTGTACAAGTGATAAGATCAAAATATATTGATGCACCATCCCTGGAGGCCGAATACGGAAAAACCGGAAAACCGATTTTTTCAACTTGAGCTAGGATTTTTTTGAGCACAAGACGAAGCCGTCAGATTTTAGTTCATGATGTTCTCTACCATCCCACATTTTGAAATGTGCGAAAATATACAGGGGATAGTGAGATATGTGGCCCGCATGTCCCACATTTCTTTAACACATTTATCTCCTTCTTTCCTATCCCCTTATTTTGTTTGTTTCGTCATTTTTGGCGTATATTTGTCTCGAGAATGGGTCGAGCACTGTGGTTGAGATCTTGGCTATTACTGGTGGGCCCAAAATTTGGGGACACCTCGGCGGGAGCGAGGTCATTTCCTGAGGTTTGGAATGGAGGGGATATGCGGGTGTGATGTACGGTACATGACTGCCTTTGATTGTTTGTGCGTCAGAGAAATCAAGCAGCAGATCCGGGTTCGACTCCCGGCGCTCGCATTGCAGTCCATATTGTTGCTTTTTTTTGTTTGTGTCGTGGATATCATTCTTTCATTCTCATCGTGGCTTCATTGTTTTGTTTCATTTCTGTTGAATGAGTTGAGCACTTTACGTAAATAAGTTAGAATCTGACTCGAGGATGGAGAAGAATAATAATAATGAGAATGGATCCCAGCCTTCCGAAGGAAGGACGGTACCTTATTCAGGCTCAGGTACGAGGGGATAAGCGGGTGTGGTGTACGGTACACGGCTGTGTTCATTACGCCAGACCTCGTCTCTTTAAATGCAGGCAGCAGACCCGGGTTCGACTCCCGGCACCCGCAGACCACGGCATCCCTCTTTTTTTTTTAAAAAATCTCTGTTCATTATGCTGTTTTCGGACTGGTTCCATATTAATAAGCCAAAGTTCCCATGTTTGTCTCTGTTTGTTGTGGATTTTGTTACACTGAGGGTTTTGAGGGATTACAGTACAGGGTTTGGAGGGAAGTAGGAAGCACGTGATCCGGTAATTAAACAATAACCCGTCATGATCGAGACGGGAAAAATTGCCGATCAGGGTTACGGGTTTGAGACCTGGTCCCTAGGTCGGTACCAGGAACTTGTTTTATTCTCATCGTGGCTTCATTGTCTTGTTTCATTTCTGGTGGAGGAGTTGAGCACTTTAAGTAAATGGTGAAAAATCTGATTGACTTCAGGAGGGAGCATAATAATAATAGGAGTGGATCCCAGCCTCCCGAAGGAAGGACGGTACCTTATTCAGGCTCAGATACGAGGGGATATGCGGGTGTGGTGTACGGTACACAGCTGTGTTCAATATTTTGTTTCGTAAGAAGCTGTTCAGACAGCCAATCCGGGTTCGACTCCCGGCACTCGCAGACCACGGCATGCCTCTTTTTTTTAAAAAAATCTCTGTTCATGATGCTGTTTTCTGACTGGTTCCATATTAATAAGCCAAAGTTCCCACTGTTTTTGTTTCTGTTCGTTGTGGGTTTTTCTGGCCGGTGTTTCAATGCGTGTTGGGATAAAACTCAAAATCTGGCTGAGAATGTTGAGCAAAATCATCAGCACCAATGAGTCGAACATCCTGAAGAACGGTGACTTCTTCAGGGACAAGGATGGAGGGAATATGCGGGTGTGGTGTACGGTACACGGCTGTGTTCATTCCGCCAAGCCTTGTACCATTAAACGCAGGCAGCTAATCCGGGTTCGACTCCCGGCGCTCGCATTATGCTGCAGTACCCATTGTTTCTTTTTTTTTTGAGTCGTGGATATCAGACTCATCGTGGCTTTATATTTCCTTGTTTCATTTCTGGAGGATGGCTTCAGTAAGTTTTACATAAATAGGTTGAAATCTGAGTGACCCGATGGAGAATAACAATCATAAAAACTGATCTCAGATTCCCAGCCTGCCGAAAGACGGTAGGTTATACAGGGTTTAAAGTAGAGGGTGTGGTGTACGGTACACGGCTGTGTTCATTGCTCGGGGTTTTCTCTTTAAATGCAGGCAGCAGACCCGGGTTCGACTCCCGGCACCCGCATAGACCACGGCATCCCTCTTTTTTTAAAAACCTCTGTTCATTATGCTGTTTTCGGACTGGTCCCATATTAATAAGCCAAAGTTCCCACTGTGTTTGTCTCTGTTCGTTGTGGATTTTTCTGGCCGGTGCCTCGATGCGTGTTGGGGTAAAACTCAAAATCTGGCTGAGAATGTTGAACAAAATCATCAGCAGCAATGAGTCGAACATCCTGAAGAATGGTGATTTATTCAGGGACAAGGATGGAGGGAATATGCGGGTGTGGTGTACGGTACACGGCTGTGTTCACTGCGGGATTGCCAGAGAATTCAGGCAGCAGATCCGGGTTCGACTCCCGGCGCCCGCATACTTTGGCCACACAGCGTCTTTTTTCCCCCATCCTTGTCCTATCTCTCCAAGTCACTTGCTTTCTTTATTTCTTGATGCCAGCTTCTTATTTGCGTTCTGGCGCCGGATGAGTCGATTATGAGAAGAAATTGGCTTTCGGTTGGAATTAGTGAAGCTGAGAGGGATAAGTGACCCACTAATGGAGTCAAGACTCCAAAAAGGCTTGTTTATGGTTCAAACTAGAGGAACAAGCGGGGGTGGTGTACGGTACACAGCTGTCGTGATTTAAATGCATCTTGGATGGTAAGCAGCCGACCCGGGTTCGACTCCCGGCACCCGCATAAACCATTTATTCGCAGACCTTTTTTTCTCCCTCTGGTTTTTCTGTCCTTTTCGTTCCGGGTAAGCTGGTTGTTTTGATTTCTGCGAATGATTCAGAGAATGTACTTGGTTGAGTTTGAAAACAAAACGGAGGTTAGTGGGTTGAGGAATCAGGACGCCGACAGACACACTAGCAATGATGGTAAGGCCTCAAAATATGGGAACTTGTTCGGGGTTTAAAGTAGAGGAGGGAGCGGGCGTGGTGTACGGTACACGGCAGTGTTCATTGCTCATCTTCGAGATTAAAATGCCGGCAGCTAATCCGGGTTCGACTCCTAGCGCCCGCATTCTGCTGCAGTACCCATTTTTTCATTTCTTTTTTGTGTCGTGGATATCAGACTTGTCATTCACATCGTGGCTTTATTACCTTGTTTGATTTCCGGAGGATGGGCAACAACTTTAAATAAGCTAAAATTTGGCTGACCTTCGATGGAGAATAACAGTCATAAAAACAGCCTGCCGAAAGACGGTAGGTTATACAGGGTGCGAACTAGAGGGAGGGAGCGGGTGTGGTGTACGGTACACAGCTGTCGTGATTTAAATGCATCTTGGATGGTATGCAGCCGACCCGGGTTCGACTCCCGGCGCCCGCATAGCTGGACAACAGCGATCTTTTTCCCCCTTCCTTGTCCTGTCTCTCTAAGTCACTTGCTTTCTTTATTTCTTGATGCCAGCTTCTTATTTGCGTTCTGGCGCCGAGTCGATTATAAGAAATTGTCTTTCGGTTGGAATTAGTGAAGCTGAGAGGGATACATGTCCCACTAATGGAGTCAAGACTCTCAGAAAAGGCCGACTTATTTACCATTCAAACTAGAGGAATAAGCGGGTGTAGTGCACTGTACACAGCTGTATCATCGTCGGAATCACAGCAATTCAGGCAGCTACTCCGGGTTCGACTCCCGGCGCTCGCATTCTGGCTACCGTCCCCAATTTTTTTTTTTTTTGTGTCGTGGATATGAGACTTCTTTCATTCACATCGTGGTTTTATATTTCCTTTCATTTCTGGAGGATGGCTTACCAGCAAGTTGTTTCACATAAATAGGTTGAAATCTGACTGACCCGATGGAGAATAACAATCATAAAACTGATCCCAGATTCCCAGCCTGCGGAGGGACGGGAGGTTATGCAGGGTGCGAACTAGAGGGAGGGAGCGGGCGTGGTGTATGGTGCACGGCTGTGTTCATTGCTCAAGTGTTTGAATAGTAAGCAGCAGACCCGGGTTCGACTCCCGGCACCCGCATTACTGTTGAAGGAGCCTTTTTTTGGCTCTTCTGTCAGTTCATTACACTTTTCTCATTCACTATTAATGTCTGCCTCAAATTGGTTGACGTTGACTATACTTGCCTCGAGGGGAGAGAAAAATAGGTTTAATTTGAACATCCCGACGAGAGACTTGGTGGCTAGGATGAAGTATGATGCTCGGAATGCATCCGAGCCTCTCCAAACTGGTAACTTGTTCAGGGTTTAAAGTAGAGGAGGAAGCGGGCGTGGTGTGCGGTGCACAGCTGTGTTCAATATTTTGTTTTGCAAGAAGCTGTTCAGACAACCAATCCGGGTTCGACTCCCGGCGCCCGCATACATAATTTCCTTTTTTTTTGGTTCTCGTTCATTAAGCATTTCCTGACCGGTGCCTCGATGCATCTTGGTGAAAAGTGTGGATGTTCAAGTTGAAAATCTGGCCGGAGATAGTTGAATATAGTCAGGAGCAACAAAGTTGAATTTAAACATCCTGAAGATGGTCGGGATGAATTTGAAGGATGGTGACTCATTCAAGGACTAATATGGAGGGGGAGAGCGGGCGTGGTGTACGGTACACGGCTGTGTTCATTCAAGTGGTTGAGGCAAAAGAGTCAAACAGCAGATCCGGGTTCGACTCCCGGCGCCCGCATTCTGCTGCAGTACCCATTTTTTCATTTCATTTTTTGTGTCGTGGATATCAGACTTCTTTCATTCACATCGTGGCTTCATTGTCTTGTTTCATTTCTGGAGGATGGTTTACCAACCAGTTGTTTTACAGAAATATGTTGAAATCCGACTGACCCGATGGAGAATAAAAACTGATCCAAGATTCCCAGGCTGCCGAAGGACGGTAGGTTAAGCAGGGTGCGAAGTAGAGGGAGGGGGCGGGCGTGGTGTACGGTACACAGCTGTGTTCATTGGGTCGTTGCTCTTTAAATGCAGGCAGCAGACCCAGGTTCGACTCCCGGCGCCCCCATGGAGTTGATGTGAAAATCCCCCTTTTTTTTAAAAAAAATCTGTTCATGATGCTGTTTTCTGACTGGTTCCATATTAATAAGCCAAACTTCCCAGTATTTTTATCTCTGTTCGTTGTGGATTTTTCTGACCGGTGCCTCGATGCGTGTTGGGGTAAAACTCAAAATCTGGCTGAGAATGTTGAACAAAATCATCAGCAGCAATGAGTCGAACATCCTGAAGAATGGTGACTTATCCAGGAACAAGGATGGAGGGAATATGCGGGTGTGGTGTACGGTACACGGCTGTGTTCATTCCGCCAAGCTTTGTACCATTAAACGCAGGCAGCTAATCCGGGTTCGACTCCCGGCGCTCGCATTGCAGTCCACATTTTTTCATTTCTTTTTTGTGTCGTGGATATCAGACTAATCGTGGCTTTATTGCCTGGTTTCATCTGGAGGATGGCTCACCAGTAAGTTTTACATAAATAGGTTGAAATCCGACTGACCCGATGGAGAATAAAAACTGATCCCAGATTCCCAGGCTGCCGAAGGACGGTAGGTTATTCAGGGTTCAAAGTAGAGGGAATCAGCGGGTGTGGTGTATAGTACACAGCTGTCGTGATTTGGACGTATTTCGAACAGTAAGCAGCAGATCCGGGTTCGACTCCCGGCGCCCGCATAGTTGGACAACAGCGATCTTTTTCCCCCATCCTTGTCCTATCTCCAAGTCACTTGCTTTCTTTATTTCTTGATGCCAGCTTCTTATTTGCGTTCTGGCGCCGAGTCGATTATGAGAAGAAATTGTCTTTCGGTTGGAATTAGTGAAGCTGAGAGGGATAAGTGACCCACTAACGGAATCAAGACTCAGACTTATTTACTGTTCAAACTAGAGGAACAAGCGGGTGTAGTGCACGGTACACAGCTGTATCATCGTCGGAATCACAGCAATTCAGGCAGTTACTCCGGGTTCGACTCCCGGCGCCCGCATTCTGCTGCAGTACCCATTTTTTCATTTCTTTTTTGTGTCGTGGATATCAGACTTGTTTCATTCACGTCGTGGCTTTATTGTCCTGTTTCATTTCTGGAGGATGGCTTACCAGCAAGTTTTACATAAATAGGTTGAAATCTGACTGACCCGATGGAGAATAACAATGATAAAAGCTGATCCCAGATTCCCAGCCTGCCGCAGGACGGTCGGTTATTCAGGGTTTAAAGTAGAGGAGAGAGCGGGTGTGGTGTACGGTACACTGCTGTGTTATATCATCATCGGTAGTAATTCAGGCAGCTACTCCAGGTTCGACTCCCGGCACCCGCATACGTAACTCGTTCAGATCTTTTTTCTCCCTCTGGTTTTCCTGTCCTTTTCGTTCCGGGTTAGTTGGTTGTTTTGATTTCTGCGAATGGTCCAGAGAGAGCACACTTGGTTGAGTTTAAAAACAAAACGGACTGGAGAACCTTCAAGTTGGTGGGTTGAGGAGTCAGGACGCTGACAGACTCATAGAATGAAGCCGAGGCCTCAAAATATGGTAGCATGTTCGGGGTTTAAAGTAGAGGAGGAAGCGGGCGTGGTGTGCGGTGCACAGCTGTGTTCAATATTTTGTCTTGCAAGAAGCTGTTCAGACAGCCAATCCGGGTTCGACTCCCGGCGCTCGCATTGCAGTTCACATTTTTTCATTTCATTTTTATGTCGTGGATATCAGACTCATCGTGGCTTTATTGCCTTGTTTCATCTGGAGGATGGCTTACCAGTAAGTTTTACATAAATAGGTTGAAATCTGACTGACCCGATGGAGAATAACAATGATGAAAACTGATCCCAGATTCCCAGCCTGCCGAAAGACGGTAGGTTATGCAAGGTTCGAACGAGAGGGAGAGAGCGGGTGTGGTGTACGGTACACGGCTGTGTTCATTGGTGCACAATGCTATTGAAAATTTACCAACAGCAGATCCGGGTTCGACTCCCGGCACCCGCATATATGATATGTTCAGATCTTTTTTCTCCCTCTGGTTTTTCTGTCCTTTTCGTCCCTTTTATCTCGAAGTAAGTTACTTGCTTTTATTTCCGCAGAGTTTGAAAACTTGGTGGATGGAAGTTGGTGGGTTGAGGGCACGGACGACTCATTAGCAATGAAGCCAAAGCCTCAAAACATGGTAACTTGTTCGGGGTTTAAAGTAGAGGAGGAAGCGGGCGTAGTGTATGGTACACAGCTGTGTTCAATATTTTATCTTGCAAGAAGCTGTTCAGACAGCCAATCTGGGTTCGACTCCCGGCGCGCGCATTGTGGCTATGTCGACATTTTTTCTTTTTTTTTTGTGTCGTGGATATCAGACTTGTTTCATTCCTTCCGTGACTTTATTACCTTGTTTGATTTCTGAAGGATGGCTTACCAGCAAGTTGTTTTACATAAATAGGTTGAAATTTGACTGACCCGATGGAGAATAACAATCATAAAAACTGATCCCAGAATCCCAGGCTGCCGAAGGACGGTAGGTTATGCAGGGCTCAAACTAGAGGGAATAAGCGGGTGTGGTGTACGGTACACAGCTGTCGTGATTTGAGCGCATCTTGTCAATGAATAGTAAGCAGCAGACCCGGGTTCGATTCCCGGCGCCCGCACTAATCTTGAATGCTGATTTTTTATGCATTATTTTTGTCCGTGGAATCCAGGACCCGATCTGTCAGATGGGGCTGGATTCGGGCTGTCCCAGTCAGGTTCAAGGCTGTCCGTCAACTGTCCGGTTGGTTTTTTTTTGTGAGAAAAAAGAAAACATGAGGAGCGCTGGAAGAAGGAAGCTTGCGATGGATATCCTGATAACAACCGAGAATGATATGGGTCTTGAAATGGACGCGGGAGTTGATGTGGGGCGTGATGTGACTCGCGCCCAGTGGGGTGAGTGTGACTGCGTGACTTGCCCTCTCGTCTTGCTCGCTGTCGATGGACGGCGCCGGCACCGACTCGCCGCCCCTGCGCACCACCATCCTCGGCTCCTTCCTCGGCCGCGGCCGCCCGCGCAACTCGTCGCAGTCGCACATCGAAGTCCCCCGCGAGCTGTCGCCGTCCCCGCCCACCGGCCAGCCGCCGTCGCCCAACCCGCTCAACATCGCCAACCCCAACGCAGCCGGCAGCCACCGCCGCCGCCCCGGAGGCGCCCCCGCCGCGCTCGCCCCGTCCACGTCCCACCAGCCCGGCGCCGGCCTCACGCTCTCCCACATGCTCCGCCGCCGCCGCTCCGCCGGCAACGTCGCCGCACCCGCGCCCACCGCACCCCCCGTCCTGCCCTCCCAACAACAACAAGTTCCTCAATCAGCTGGCCAGCAGCAGCCCGCCTCGGCCACCTCGCGTCCGGGGACGATGGGCAGCGGCGGGGCGCACCGCATCCGCCTGGTCCCGCACCTCGACTCGCGCCGCAGCCTGCGCTTCGACCCCATCGCGCGCGACCTCCGCGCGGCCGAGCCCGCGCTGCGCATCGGGCGCTTCACGGACCGCTCGGGGCTCGGGCTCGCGGCGGTGAACGCGCTGAGCACGAACAAGATTGCGTTCAAGAGCAAGGTCGTCTCGCGCGCGCACGCCGAGGTCTGGGTCGAGGCCGATCCCACGTCCGCCGGCGGTGGGGGCGGGGGTGGGGTGAAGTTCTTCATACGGGACACGAAGAGCAGCAGCGGGACGTTCCTCAACCACGTCCGGCTGAGCCCCGCGAACACGGAGAGCCGCGCGCACCAGATCAAGGACGGCGATATCTTGCAGCTGGGCGTGGATTACCAGGGCGGGGCGGAGGATATATACAAGAGCGTCAAGATAAGGGTCGAGCTGGGAAGGGAGTGGCAGGCGGCGGCGAATGCGTTCAAGTGGGTGGCCGTGATACGATTATTACAAGCCCATACTGAGCCACTTTTAGCACCAACGCCCTCAAGAACCTCAAGACCCTCGCCATCGCGCCCCCCGCGCCCGTCCCCGGGTCCGGCTCCGTCAAGCGCGCAAAGGCCCCCGCGGGTGCGTCCAGTATACCGGACTGCTGTATTTGTGAGTCCGGATCCATCCATCCATCCATCTTTCTTTTATTTCCTTTTATTTTTCTTTCATTTCATTCATTTTTTGTTCTACCATCTTGCGTCCCAGTTTTCCTTCCTCTCTCCCCTTTCCAGCGTCCCTCATTTTCCTCCATTTTCCTCCCCCCTTCATTTTCCTTGCTCGTCTTTCCCTCGTCCTCATCTTTCTGTTCATTCCCGCTTTCCTCCACTCTACTCCCCTCCCGCTTTCTTTGTCTTGCGCTCCCTCAGGTCCTCCCCCTTGGCGCCGCCGCGTCCCGTTCCGGCTAGCCCCCCTCCCGCGTTTCACGTTTCATTCCGTTCTCCGCTGTCCTTCCTTCCCTGCCTACATACACTCCCCTTGCGTCCCTGCTCTCCCTCGTCCCTTTCCTTTACTGTCTTCGTCTTGTTTTGCTCTCCTTCCAGTCCCCCTCCTTCGCCGCCGCTGCTTCCCTTTCCGGGCGGTACCGGCCCTCCTGCCTCTCCCTTACCTGTCTTCCTCGCTCCGCCCTCCTCTTTCTCTGGCAGGCCTCCCGGGCCATCCCCCGCCCTCATCCGCTCCTCGTCATCCTCCCTTCCCACCCTTTCATCGCATTATTCATTCCATTAACCACTTCATTTATTTTGTCCTTCATTTTCGCTCCCTTTCTTTCGCGTCGCGTTCCCTCGCCTCCCTCCCGCTCTCCCTTCCCCGCCACCCCTCTCCCCCACGCCTTTCTTTTTTTGCCTACTTGATATCTCGTCTCCTCCGTTCCCTATTCTTCCCCATACGTACCCTCTTGCCTTTTTTCTTCCCTCCCCTCTCATCTCCCTCCCCTCCCCCTTGACCCATCTTTTCTTCTTTTCCATGACTACCATTTTTCTCTCCTTCTTCTCCTTCCTCTTACTAACCCTTCGCAGGCCTCTTCCCCGTCTCGATCCGCCAGGCGCTCTTCATCGCGCCCTGCTCGCACACGTTCCACTACAAGTGTCTCCGCCCGCTCTTGGAGGCGCACCATCCGGCGTTTAGGTGGGTTTTCCTTTTTTGGGGGTTTTTTGGGGAGAGGCGTTGTGTTTTATTTCTCTGCATTGTGTTTGGAGCGGTGGCGTGGAGTGGGGCGATACGCGAGCCTGGAGTGGAGTGGGCGATGCGCGAGCCTGGAGTGGAGTGGGCGATGCGCGAGCCTGGAGTCGGGTGCGAAAGCGGAGAGACGCAAGGCGGCTGCGCAGGCTCGGGACGGCGTGGGCGTCTGGCACGCGGGGTGCGAGTCGTTTGTGGAGCGGGCTTTCGAGTCGTTCGTGGAGCGCAGCGGAGTGGCTCCTGTTGCGAGATGGCTCGGTTGGGTGTTTGGGGTGCCCGAGCTGGCGTTTGGGCGCAGGCGGGGCTCGCTGCTAGCTGCGTCGGGTGGAGGGGACTCCGTTTGTGGTATGCTGCTGTGGGGCGGAGATGCGCGGGGAGTGCGGCGAGGTGTCCGTGTCGTCCGGGTGTGGCGTGCACGAAGTCGTGTCGCTGGGGGTGTGTGTTGTGCGGCAGCCGGGGCGGAGAGACAAGCCTTTTTTTGGAGTGGGCGTCCGCCGGTAAGCGGGGAGCGGAGCGGCTCCCGCTGCGAGATGGCTCGGTTGGGTGTTTGGGGTGCTCAAGCTGGCGTTTGGGCGCAGGCGCGGCTCGCTGCTGAGACGACTCGCAAGTGCTGGTGCTGGTGGGTGCAGTGCGCGGAACGGAGTCGTGCTCGAGCCGGAGTCGGAGTCGTGGTGCTGTGGGGCGGAGATGCGCGGGGAGTGCGGCGAGGTGTCCGTGTCGTCCGGGTGTGGCGTGCACGAAGTCGTGTCGCTGGGGGTGTGTTGTGCGGCAGTCGCGGCGGAGAGAATGGGCCCTTTTTTGGAGCGGGCGTCCGCCGGAAAGCGGAGTGGCTCCCGTTGCGAGATGGCTCGTTTGGGTGTTTGGGGTGCTCGAGCTGGCGTTTGGGCGCAGGCCGGGAGTCATACGCGAGCCGGCCTCGGGTGCGGGCTCGAGGGGGAGACTTTGGACTTTGCGCAGAGCGGAGAGGGGAGTGGCTCCCGCTGCGTTTGGGTGTTTGGGGTGCTCGAGCTGCGAGAGACGCCGGTGCTGGTGGCGCAAGTGCCGAGTGAGGATGTAGCGCGCGGGTCCTCTCTGGGTACAGCGTGCGCGGAGCCATACGCGAGCCGGCCTCGGGCGCAGGCTCGAGGAGACTTTGGACTTTGCGCAGAGCGGAGAGCGGAGAGGGGAGAGGCTCCTGCTGCGTTTGGGTGTTTGGGGTGCTCGAGCCGCGAGAGACGCCGGTGGCGCAAGTGCCGAGTGGGGATGTAGCGCGCGGGTCCTCTCTGGGTGCAGCGTGCGCAGAGTCATGCGCGGGCTCGAGGAGACTTTGGACTTTGCGCAGAGCGGAGAGCGGAGAGGCTCCCGCTGCGAGTTGGCTCGGTTGGTGCTGGAGCCGGCGTCGGGCTTCAGGCACGTCGGCGTGGAGTCGTCTGCGAGACTCGCGGACATCCGTGACATGCAGGTGCAGTGCGTTGTGCAGGCGTTGCTGCATGCAGCTCGAGTAGTCCTTTCTGGTGCTGGAGCCGGCATCGGTGCGGTGCCGAGCGGCGTCGGGTGTAAACTCTCTTGGAGTTCTTTGCGCGGAGGG